GTGCCGTCTAAGGCCCTCTTGGGACCTTCTCGGCGGCCCCCTTAGGGCTTTCTTGGAGCCTCGCCGCGAGGACGGGCGCAAGGCCAAGCGCGCCCGCATATCCCTCGATGGCCTCTTCGTCGAGGCCGGCGGGAAGACGGCGACCTCGGCGGAGCCCGCCGCCGTGCAGGAGTGTCTCGACAAGCTCGCTGAGCGGACGAGGGGGGCCGGCAAGGCGGACATGGCGACGCCCGTGCTGCCGCTGAGCGCGACGTCACAGGCTTGGGAGTTTGGGAACGCATTGGGCCGCTCCAAGGGATCTAAAGGGTTTCGGATGGTTTTACATTCTTGGTATTCTTGGTTTGTATTCTTGGCATTCTTGGTTCGCATTCTTGGCATTTGCGGTTTGGGCCCGGTATTTTTTTTACCAGGGAGCCTCTGTCATCTGTTTTATTATATATAGCCGCCCCGGTAAATTTTCTACCAGGCCGGGTGTTCGTCTTCCAAGAATACAAACCACGAATGCCAAGAATGCCAACCACGAATGCCATGGACCTCGGGCGGCCTCAAGGGGCTTAGAGGGGCCTCGAGGGGCATCGAGCGGCCTAGAGCGGCTTCGATCGGCCTCGAGGGGCTACGAGCGGGCCTCCTGGGGCCTCGAGGGGCCCCGAGAAGCCTCGAGCGGCCTCGAGCGGGTTCGGGCGGCCTCGAGGGGCCTCGAGCGGTCGTCGTCGTCGTCATCCTCCTCCTCCTCCTCCTCCTGCGAACGACCGCACCTCTGGCGCTCTTTGCAGGAGGGGGAGGAGGAGGGGGAGGAGGAGGAGGAGGAGGAGGAGGAGGAGGAGGAGGGAGGAGGGATGAGGGGTGAGGGATGAGGGCTGATGAGAGCGCGTCCGAGTCGAACACGCCTCGGGAAGATAGAAAACTCGAGGGGCCGCAGAGCGGCGGGGCCAGGGAGACAGGCGGGGGCGAGGGGGCGCCGGCGCCGAAATCGAGCACACCCTGGCGTCCATGCGCCATACCGTTCGGAGCCCACCCCCTGCCCCCTCGGGCGCTTGGGAAGGGGGAAGCGTTGCGTGCACCGTCCCCCCCTGCCAGGGAAACGACCCCTGGGAACAAGCAAAACGAGATACGTATTGCCCGTGGGCCGCTTTGGTTGCCTTCCTAGAGCCCTCCGGCCGAGGATCCATAGCCGCGCCAGATCAGCGCGAAGATAGCAACGTTTCGCTCGGCACCCTGGGGTCGTTTATCCGTCGCTGGCAACTTTTGGAGTCCCTGGCCAGGATCTGCTCGCCGAGACCATCGCTCGGAAGCACGCGTCCCTGCGGCCGGCGCATGTTCGGGCTCTGATCTCGGTCCTTGACTCGCTTGCGTCGTCGGAGACGCCGTGGTCGATAGGGACTGTCTGTTCGGGCACCGATATGCCAGTCCACGTGTTGAAGAAGCTAATGGCTTTCTGGTCCCAGGAGTACGACGCCGCCATCGCGATCAAGCACGCGTTCTCTTGCGAGAACGCCCCTCGAGCACAGGCCTTCATCACGCGGCATCATGCTCCAGATCATCTCTTCGCTGACATTCGCTATATGGGCGGCCACGCGGCCCATGACAACATAAAGGATGGCCCTGCCCCGATCCCAACGGTCGACTTCCTCGTGGGCGGCACCGAGTGCGACAACTTCAGCCAGCTGAATTTCCATTCTCGGGCCAACGAGACAGGGGTGCTTTCCTCGGGCAGCGGCACGAGCGGCGTTACTCTGCAGGGTCTTTGGGACTACATACGCGATAAGAAGCCCAAGGTCGTCGGCTGGGAGAACAGCGATAAGACGAAGAGGGCCGACCTCACCGCTTTCCAGAACTTGCTGTGGCGGGCAGGGTACATCAACGATTACTGCACCCTCGACGCTAAAGATTATTCATTGCAGTCGCGTCCCCGCATCTACCTCATTGCTGTGTTCCACAGCCAAGTGGAGGCAATGGCCAGGACGCCAACGGGGCTTACAGACCAGATGAAGGAGGACATCTTGGGGGCGTCCTGGGTGCCCAAGGTTTTCACGCTGGCCAAAGATCTGGCGGGCCACACTTTCGATATCGAGCAGTTCTTGCTGCCTGACGATCACGACGAAGTGCGGAACTGGAGGGCCCACCGCGTGAAGAACAAGGCGGAGGTCGAAAAGCGCGCGAAAGGAACCGAGCAGTTCGAGTTCGAGAGTCATCACTTGCAGCGCTACTCCGAGGCGAAGATCGAGTGGCCGCCGCCGGCGAAGGCATTCGCGGATAATGGCCTCGAGGGGTGCGTCGACCACCTGCCGCGGCGCAATCAGGAGGCCGTGCTGTACCACACGGTCAAGGCTGCCCGGCAGTTGGAGGAGGAGCAGGCCAAGAAGGGAAAGGACGTCCAGCAGGGGCAGAAGGTCCAGACAGACCAGGAGGGCACGGTGACCGAGCGAGTGGTTGATTTGAACATGAAGTTGGACTGGCAGGTCAACCGCCAGGAGGTCCCTTGCATTGTATGCACCTCCCGGCCGTGGCTCGTCACTCGCCGCCGCGACGTGACGGGCGCCGAGGCGCTGGGGCTCCAGGGGTACCAGATCCTCGACCTGAAGAACGAGGACGCGATGTTCACTAATCCTGAATTGCTGACGCTGGCTGGAAATGCCATGTCTGGTTTTGTGCTGGCTGTCCTCCTACTTGCAATGTTCGTCTATATGCGGGACACGGTGGACCTCAGTGACCTCGGGCTCGGGTGCGCGGACTTCACCGGGGAGTTTCAGAACGCGAACGCCAGCGACGACGACATGGACGGGAGCGCCCTCGGGGACAGCGAGGGCGAGAGCGCCCTCGGCGAGGGGGGCGAGTCATCGTCCAGCTTGATGGAGCTCAGCGACGCTTGAGGCCCCAGGTCGCCCTTCGTCCCGAGCAGCAAGGTGTACATTTTTGTGAGGCTTGACGCGCCCTTCAGTGAATTCAGGCTGATCTGGGTTTTGCGGGGATCTCTCCGCCTGGTTATGAGCGAAAACACGAAGACAGATAGCGAGGGGCCGTCCGTGAAAATGAGTTTCGGGTGGCCCTCGAGGGGTCGGATGCCTTTGAGTTTCGGGTGGCCCTCGAGGGGTATCTACGTAGAGGGCGGCGACGCATTTCGCGAGGGTCGAGGGGGAGGTGGGCGTTGGGAGGAGGAGGAGCAGCAGCAGGAGGGGGGTGAAGCGGAGGGGGAAGAGGAGGGGGAGGGGGTGACGGGGAATTGCATGGGGAGCGAGTCCAGCAGGGGAATGAGGGAGGATATGAGGCCGCCAGAGTCACCCTGAGGACCCGGGGGTTTCCGAAGTGTTGCCAGGAACAATGAAACAATGCTCGTGGAGTGAAGGGGCCTCACTCGGGACCTGCTTGAACTTCTGATCCCCCTTCAGATTTCTCGTCAGCCGAGCCCTTCGTCAGCCGTTCTGGCCCAGCGGCGGGGTTGCGCTCGGCTAGGATGGCCACTCCCCCGCCCCCACATCCGCGGGCAACTCCATGGGATTTAGGAGATGATGAAATATGGCCCGCGTGGCTGCAGGACGACGCCCAAAGGCGGCCTTTGGGCCCTCGAGACAAGTGGCGGCGCGGCATGTGGAAGAAGGCCCCTCGTGGGCGGGGGGAAAGTCCCAGGTCCTGGGCCCAGGGAGCGTTAGTAGCAGGGGGTCAGGGGGTATAGGGGCGGTCGAGGCGAGTTGTCGGGGCTCAGAGGACGCCAACTTGGTTGCCCTCGGCGTGCGGATGCTCGGAAACACTTGTAAGAAGCTCCGCAACATGCGCCTGGATGTCGTTATCGCACAACACCTGCGCAAGGTTGGCGTCCTTTCCTCCTCCCACTCCGCTTCATTCCCAATCCCTCCTCCGACTGCCGGGGACCTTCCACCCCCTCCCTCTCGCCCCTCCATCGCCCCATCATCCACCCCCTCCTTCCCCGTCTATTGACTATTGAGGTATATTGGAAACCCAACAGTCTCGTGGTGATTGAGCGTTCTGAGCCGCTTGGGGCACTGACTATAGGATGGCTCGGTGAGCTGGCTATGCCGCCGCGGCCGCCTCCTGCCCTGATTCCGCACGCGACGCTAACTGACGAGGAACTGGAGGCTATGATCGGCTGATTGGTGAGAAACGTCATCTGAGGTGCATCCCCCTCGGTCGACTGGAGCGCCGTTGATGCTGCGATGCACCCTCCCGGCACATATGCATGCGACGCGCCTGCTTAAATCAGGGAAGGCGCCTTGAGAGACGCCGTGGACCACGCGTCGGGAGAGCCCCGTTGGGTACAAGGGAAGCCTCGGAGTGCCTCGGGTATCTTGGGTGACTTGGCTGACTCTCTGGGAGCGTTCATGGTCAGACCCGCCCGAAGCATGTTGAGGGCCTTCTATATGCCGCGCTCATGACCAGCCCCCTACCCCTTACCAGCTCCAACACCTTCTGACTTGACATGTGCATCTTTGCCATCAGACTAAGAGCTCCATTTCGCTGGATTGTTGAGGGCCCCCTATTATGCCCATGGGGGACCGCCATTCATCCGCGCGACTGTTTCACAAGTTCGAACTCCAGGCCATAAAACTGAGGAGGTCTCAACCCAGAGTCCCATGTTGAAAAGGAACCACCTCCGTCCGCGTATAACCTCCAAGGCGTCAAGTGTTAAGGGGAATGTTCACGGTGCTAAGGCGAGAGCCGCATTTTGAATATCATAAGATACCGTTGCTTGATGAGGGCTCGCATTGCGTTGCTGCTTGTTGATTGTTGTGATTGTTGGTTTTTGTTGCTGCGCATTGTCGTGCATTGCGGTGCATTGATGCCATGAGATCTTTGCCAGCTCCTACCAGCTCCTACACTCCAACCCCATCAGCTCTACAGTGTATCGGCTGGACACCTCTATTCCTATTGCAGGCCAGCTCGCGGCCCGTTGCCGGGGCGCGAGGGCGGCCATGCCGGCCTCCACGTCGGGGAGGTCCGCGTCGGGGCGTGGACCCAGGGGGTCCGCCCCCACGAGCCTCGCCGGCATGCGCATCAGGCTGGGGGACAAGGCTGCAAGGGAGGCTGAGAAACAGGCTGCCCTTGAGGCAGAGAAACAAAAGCTCTCGGTCTGCCCTCCATGCACACCTGAGGGTGGGCCCATCGGCAAGAAGTGCATTTTCCTGTGCGGCAGCCAGTATGGCATCACGCGGAGCAGCGTCGATCCGAGCAGATTCATCGAGTGGGAGTACCCTGACGGCTCGGGAACGGCCGATATGTTCTGCGCCAACACCTACCGCTATGACTTCAAGGCGAAGGGCACCAGGGAGGAAGTCGTCAATTGGATGAACGAGAGCAAGGACAACCGCGACCAGTTCCACGGGAAGAGGAAGATGAAGCTCACCAAGGCGCAGGCTAAATTCGCCAAGGGGACCTGGAACTCCGAGCGAAAGGGCCGCGGCAGCTCAACCAAGAAGCTCGAGAGGCAGATGGGGGTACTCGCAAGAATTGCTACCCCCAGCGCCGGACGTGCTGCCGTGGAAGGAGTACGAGTCCCAGGTCAGCAAGACTGCGCAGAAGAAGTTGGGGCACAAGCGCGTGAAGCTGCACGGCCAGGACGTCGTGATAATGCCAGCGGCGAAAGGCACGCCGTGGAAATTGCAGCCCAAATTCATGACCAACTTGCTGGCCACTGAGAGGATCCACTCCGAGGATTCGGACGATTCGGAGGACGTCGTGGACGCAGCCTTTGACGAGCTCTGCGACGAGCAAGAGGCGCAGCTGGAGGAGGCGACCCGGGGGGCCAAGTCCTTGCAGGAGATGATCGCGGCCGTGCAGGCGGAGACGAAGACCGCGAATAAGGGTGGCGAAGGTTCTAATGGAGGGCGAAACCCTTTGCTTTTTGCCTCATCCCCCCCCCCGCTCATGGCCGTGGCCCGCTATGCCATGCTATTGAGATGGGGGCGGGGGCCGAGGGCGGGGAGGAGGATGATGCAGATATGAGGAAGAAGGAAGAGGAGGGGGGAGTTTCGGAAAGAGGGGGGGCATGAGGGCATACGCAATGCAGCGAACATCTTGGCTGCCTCAGGGAAGTGGGAGGCCTGGCAGGGCTCTTTGACTGCGAATTTCAGTTGGTAGTGTGGGTGCGTTTGTGTATTGTGTGTGCGTTTGCGTGTATGCGTGGGTGGCTCTGAATGTGTGAGTGCGTGTGTGTGCGCGCTCTTGCGTTCGTCTGTGTGTGTGCGTGTCTTCGGGCGCGTGTGTATGCTCGTGTATGCGTGCGTGCTCGCGTCGTTGCATGTGCGTGTGTGGGCGGGCGTGCGTGTGTGTGCGTGTGTGTGTGTGTTAGCGTGTGTGTGCGTGTGAGTGTGCGCGCGTGTCTGCGTGTGTTATCGTGTCTGCGCGGGCGCGTCGGCTGCCGCCCAGGTGCCTCCACGGGCGACGCCGACGTGGACATGGCGGCCTCGGACAACCCTAGGAGGAGGAAGTGGGGCTTCGTTGAAGCGGTGGACCAGAGCCCCGCGCGGGGCGCCGCCGCGGGCGCCAGGACCAAAGGGACGGGGCGACTCGCTGGACTCCAATCTCGGGGGGTAGGAGCAGGAGAAGGAGGAGGGGGAGGGAGAGAGTGGGAGGAGGAGGAGGAGGAGGAGGAGGAGGAGGAGGAGGAGGAGGGAGATGGGGGGCGGGGAGGAGGAAGAGGATGGGGCAGGATTGGCAGGAAATTGGAGGCAAATTTCAGTAGCAAGGGCCCCTCGGGGGCTTCAGACCAAGTCCCGACTCCATCCGACCAGTCTGTTGGATACAGCTGGATGCCTGGGGCGCCCCCGAGGCCCCCTGGGAGCTATTTGAAAACTCTCTCTGGGTTGTCTCGGGGTTGGGGATATCCCAGGAGGGCTTCAAGAGGATCCCTGGAGACCTCCATGTCAGCTTTATCCAACCAGCACGTTGGATAGGAGGTAGGGCTGAACATAGCTGACCTGGTGCCCCTACGGCATCCCTCCAAGGGGCTTCTCGGGGTTTTCAGAAAGCTTGGTTCAAGAGGGCCCAGCGGGGACCCCAGGGCGGCTTTATCCAGCCAGCTTGTCGGATATATCTGAATAGAGTTGACCGGGGGCACCCCGCGAGCACCCCCTGGAGCCCTCCCTGGGAGCCTCTCGGGGCTTGCAGAAAGCATTGGTCGGCTCCGAGTGGGGCCCAAGAGGGTCCGTGGGAGCTCCAGCTCATTCCAGCCAGCCTGCTGAATACAGCTGGATAGGGCTGACCCGGGGCTCCCCTGGGGTCAGCGAGTGCGACGAACTTCGACACCGCTTACCCCCCCATCCTTTTCCGCATGCCATTGCTTTGCGCCGCCAGGCGAGGAAAAAAGGGCGGCGGCAACAGCTCGAGGAAGGCGACCGCCGCGTCCACGCCCGGCAGTGGGAAGAAGTCAGTCGGCGCGGGCTCGTCCAAGCGGGGCGATGGTTCTGGCAAGGCCGGCAGAGTCTCGGAGCCGATCGACGAGATCTACGAGCGGGAGACCAAGGAGTTCGCGAAGGCAGACGGGTCGTCGTTGTTCTTCCAGGACAAGAAGTGGCAGGTCAAGATCAGGTGCACCCGCCGCTACATTGGGAAGGCAGAAGACGCCGAGAAAGCAGCCGCGACCGAGAGTGCGAAGAAGAACGCCACCAAGGTCAAGGACACCATGTCCATGATGGAGACCTGCATGAAGATGCACGCCGCGCTTAAGTCGGGTACTGGCGACGCGGCCGTCAACGAGTGGTTGGGCAGCATGCGGGAGCTCGTCCAGTTCTTGCATGATAAGCCGGACGTGCAGCTGAATTGCAAGTATTTCTGGGAATGCCACTACGACGCGCTCAACTCGTCCATCGACCCGAACCTCCTGGTCGCCGAGCTCGACAAGAACATTCTCGTTCAGAGGGGCCTCATCGGGAACGCGTCCCTGGCGGGGGACTTCCAGCGGGCGCAGGTGTCGGACCTCATTGCTGCTCTGCTGCAGAAGACGGGCATCGGTAAGGAGGCAGTTGTGACTGGTCTCCGCGATCGGATAGGGCCTTTCCTCCTGCCGAAGAACGCTGATTCCAGTACGCCGTCGATCCTTGGCGAATTGCAGATCTTCTCCAACTTGTTGGCCGCTGAGGTCCCCCCCGTACTTGACGTCATTGGCCAGCTGGAGCAAGTGCTCACCCAGTTGACCGAGGGGCAGCTCCCGAGAGACCACTTCGTCGGCTTGCTCTCGAGGCACAGAACGACCGGAGGGCACGTCACCGACCATATCAAGGGGAAGATCGCCGCGGCGAAGGCTCAGTTGAACAAGACGGCAGAGCTCGATCGGCTGTCGACGGCGTTGCGCAAGGTCTGCGCGTCCCCCGACCTGTCCTTCGACATTGTCACCGAGGCTGCGACGTGGGCCGACAGCAACTTGGGCGGAGACGGCGATGACCAGGGCGTGAATGTCAACTTTGGCAAAGACTTGGATAACTCATTGGCGGCCATGGCCGGGTGCGTCTTGAGCGGTTGGGCATCCGCGTACGGCGATCATGCCACTTGGGGGACCGACGGCGCCAAGCCCGTGCAGGACTTCGGTGCTCTGGCGATCCAGTTCTCCGAAGCTTGCAGCCTCCGGCGGGGTGCTGGCGATCATCTGAAGCAGGATATGGAGGTTGTCAGTTTCGCCAAGGCCTGGTTCGACAACCACTCTACCCTCGTCAAGGGCGTAGGCAGCATGTCAAGCCTCGACCCGAGCGAGGTCGCCAACGTGCTCGGGGTTGCCAAGTGGGCGCCGGTGAAGCAGTGGCTCGAGCGGCACAGCTTACTTCCAGACGTTGACGCCAATCGCACCATGCTGCTCGCGTGGGGACGCGTGAACGCCAATCTCAAGTCGGCGCAGGACTGCGGGGCTGCGACGCGCAGCGGAAGGGAGGAGGAGGGGGGGAGGGCGGGGGCGAAGAGGGCGCAGAGAAGGAGGAGGAGGAGGAGGAGGAGGAGGAGGAGGAGGCAGAGGAAATGGAGGGCGAGGAGGGGTAGGAGGGGCGGGGAAGGAGGGGAGGGAGAGGAGGGTAAGGACTGATGAGGAGGAAGAGGGGAGGGATGGAGTAGAGCAAACACTTGGAAGGAGATGGGGGGAAGGGGGGGCAGCGGGGTGATCGCGCCAGGAACACTTCGACAATGCCTTCGCGGGGCTGTCCGAGACCCTTCGCGGCACGGTGTCGGCGGCCGCGGAGCGCGTCTCTCAGGGCTTCGTCATCTGCCGCTCCCTGGTGGAGCAAGGCGTCGATGCGCTCGTCGCTTCGGAATGCCCCCTCCGCGACCAGGTGCGGTCCCTTGACGTGCAGGCGGATTTGGGCGAGCTCTCTCAGCTATCTGTCATGGGCGAGGTGGAGGTGCTTCGCGGCGAGTATTTGCGACGGTATATTTCCCTGGCGAGGAAGTGCGCCCAGTTGCCTCTCGCGGGCGCCGAGTGGCCGGGCGATTTCAGCCACCACATCGAGATCGGGCAGGAGGTCGCTGCCATGAGAGAGTTTTTGCAGAATGTCGCGGTTGACAAATGGGCACTTTTAGAGGGGCCAGGGTTCAAGCCGAAGATCGAAGACGGCAGGGGCATGCTCGGTTGGGCCAGCGGAGTCCTCTCGAAGGCCAGCGACGGCATGGCGACGATCATCTCTGAGTTCGCCGCGAAGCTCAAGAGCTCTATGCCGAGCGCCTTGACCTTGGAGAACCCTGAGATGTTGAGCAACCCGACGCTCCAGGACGAGTTGTTCAAGAACCCTGATCGCGAATCCCTCAATCCCTGGGTGAACCAGATTCAGCAGTACCTCACTTCCTTAAAGAAGGCGGAGTCCGATGGGTTCAAAGTGAGTAAGACATTGAAGCAGGCGTATACCGAGGGGGCCAAGGTTCGCGCCCATGGCAAGCTATGCATCCTGCTCGACTGGTCGCTGGACCTGATCCTCAGCAGCCCGACGTCGAGCAACGAGGAGCTCATCGCGAAGGCCGGCGAGATCAACGATAACCTCAGGCGCACGGGCGTGAGGTTGCCGGGCTACCTGGTCGCGCTCGTGGCCGAGATGGCGAACGCCGGCAAGAAGCCGGAGGCTGCGTAGGTGGGCCAGCCGCCCCCCGTGCTTGCCTCGGCGTGCGCGCCTGTCGGCGGGCGGCAGGGCCAGCTGCGCGCGCCGTGGCGGGAGCGCGAGCGGGGCGATGAGGAGGTCGTAGGAGAGGTGGTACATGGAGAGGGGGAGGAGGAGGAGGAGGAGGAGGAGGAGGAGGAGGAGGGGGAGGAGGAGGAGGAGGAGCAGGATGAGGGAGGATCAGGATGAGGAGGAAAAGGATGAGGTGGAGGAGGATGGCAGGATAGCGACGACAAGTGCGAGTTCGAGGAGGAGGAGGACGAGGAGGAGGAGGAGGGGGCGGGGCGATGAGGAGGGGGAGGGGGGTGACGAGGAGGAGGGGTGCGACGGCGAGGAGGGGGGGCAAGGAGGAGGAGGAGGAAGAAGAGGATCCGCTCGCCAGCTGCCGCCGCCCCTGTCCTCGCCACCGCTCGGGGGCGGCGCAGCTTTTCAGCCGAGGCGCTGCCTTGGGCCTTGGGATGTGTGATAGCCTATCACCAGTGATAGCCTGATAGCCAGCGCGGGGAGACGTTTGGAAAACACTATCGAAAACATCAACTTGTTTTGTAGTTGGCAGTTGGCCTTCGGGGGTCCCCCTCGACGCCGCGGCCGGGCGCAGCTTGGGAAACTGATGCATTTGAACCCCGGGAGGGGTCCCGGGGCCGATGCTGTGAGCAGATCCTAAGTCTTAAGTTTTATCATGTCGCTGGTCTCCTCCTCCCACCCCCTCTCCCCCCTTCCACTTCGGTTGCTCCCT